TTGAGAAGTGATTTGTAAGAAGATACTTTTGTGTCATCTCCACAATCACTCTCACCAAAATAATGTGACATGGCATTTTTGAATTTATAACCAAATATTTTCTACAAATAAATTTATATATGTTTCCATAAATAAATCAAAAGAGTTTTTAATCAATATTTATGAGATTGTCGTTTTTTATTCCAAAATTATATATAAATTTTCTTTTTCATCTAAAAATAGTTTAGAAATTGATTATTGTAATAGTAAAATTCTAGAACATGTTTCTAGAATATATATTCTTTTCTCAATTAATAATAAAGACTTACCAAAATTTTAAAAGATTTTTTTATATATTTTGTTAAACAACTTCCCAAATTTATAACAACAAACATAATTATTTTTCTAAAATGTTTTTTTAACACAATACAATTTGAAAGTAATAAAAATATTATTTCATTCGGAAGTGACAAAAAAAAATATTTAATCCGTGTTTCATTTATCAAAATTTATTATTATATATTTTAATGTTTTAAAATATTAAATAATATTTATATTCTAAATTCTACTTAAAATATTTGGACAAACTAAATTTAAATAATATCCATGATACAATTTAAACAAATATGAGTTGTACATATTAATTTAACAAATAATTACTCTTTAAACTATTATTCTGAATAATTTCTATTTTTATAGTAAATTTCATATTATATATATAAAGTTATAAGCAAATAATAAAATATCAGTGTGAATATTTTTATAATTTACGTAAAATAAAAATAATATTATTTAATCTAAATGTCCAAATTCAAATATTGATTATAACAAAAAACAATACTGATCTAAGACCTATTCGAATAAAGTATAATTTGATTAAAATGCAAACACAAACCAAAATCAAATCATACAATATTATCCATCGTAAATATTTTCATTTTAGATATTTTTATTCACAAATAGAATAGTTCACACGAATTTAACCAAATAGATAGTGAACACAATTGATCATAATATGTTGTTTTTGTCAAATTTTCAATCTATAAAATAATTTACACATGCAGTGGTATAGTTTGGTGCAATGTGTTAACGGTAATGTTGACACTACAACATCAATAGAAATAGAAAAAAATTTAGAAAAGACAAAATCTTATTTGGTTATTAACAGAGAATTGTAAATGAACTTATTGTCAATGTTATTACTGAAATTACATTATTTCATATAAAGAAAATTGAACTTAAATCCAAATTGAACATTATTAGCCATTTTTAACCACGAAATAGTACTTTTTAATTTATCTGATTTCTAAAACATATTTAACCACGTATAACACGGCGAGTCACCTAGTAAAAGATTATTTAATTATGGTTTAAATATTGGGAAAATTAAAAAGGTAATCCAAAAAATAATTAAAATTGAAAAAATAGACCATATTTTTTATAATTAAGAAAATAGGCTAAAGGGTTCCAAATCTCAAAGGGAGAAGAAAATACACTACTTAAAGTTGGCTTGTTAATAAGATGTTGGTAAGATTAAAACCAAAAACACAACAAAATAGTTTATACAAAGTGTTTTTCGATTGGCGAAATGTGAATCTCTAATCATTTTTTCATGGAATCCCAACACATTTTGTGAATGATCATATTCCAAATGAGTCTAAGATGTTCACGTTTCATCACGCGAATGTAAAAGGTTCGTAGAAAGCGATTTGCTTGGTGAAACATTCTCGGACAATCTTCTCACGTGGATGTTGAGAAGTGACACGTGGCAAAAAATACAAATCGTGGCAATCCAAACTATTTTCTTACATACGCAAATGGGAAATCCGCTGCTCCGATTTAAGATGGCCTTTGGTCCAATCGTGCTCATCGATGGTACAACTACAACACGATCCAAAGTATGTTCTTGTTCTCACTTTGCTTAGAGACACACATATCCATTCTTTTTGCTTTTGTCATATCCATACACATATGACAAAGAACTCATCTTTACTGTGAAAGTGCCATTAAACTAGATGAAGCTGTGATTCTCCATTTCACTTACTTCAAGACGTAATCGATTTGGCTTGAAACCAACTAAAGAATATGTCAAGAGATGTTTCATGCTAGACTTTGACAAGAGCCTTTAATACAGAAATACTTAGCATATTCTTTTAATTTTCTAGTAAATTTGGCATATTTCTTTAATATTAAAATATTGGGAGATTTGGTTTAATATTCCAATTATTTTATAAAATTTGAAAACTAACACTTGTTTTAAATCTTTTGAAATATAACTTTATTTTTGAATAAAAAACAATAATAGCCTGATAAATTTAACAATTTACAATTACTAAAACCATATTGTTTTTTCAAATTTTGAAAATAAAAAATAAGCTCCGAAATTAACCTGAGTTTAGTAAATATATATACTGTGATATATCTTTTAAAGAAACTTACTAAATTTATGTTAATACTAATTTATATTTAGATAAATAAAGATATTATTAAAAAAAGATATACACTTATTTACCCAAATATATTCTTAACTTCATCAATCATTCAATAAACGTAGCCATGTCTATATTAGAAAAATAAACTTTGTTATATTTGGCTTTTCATTTTGTTATACATATTCTTTTCCTTCTTTTTTGCTAAATCATTTGGTTTTACATATTTTATTCATGGCAATTTTCAATTGAAATTGTTAGCGCTATACTTTTTTTTATCACTTGTAAGATTTTTTCAAGAAATCAACATGATGATAAAAGAGTACTTTGATTTATATATGATGGAGTTTAGTAACACAATTGATAAATAAAAAAAACTTAGCATCTTTCAAGAAGGTTAATAATAGCATCATATCAAGTTTCAAAAATTTAATTTCATATGACATTTCTTTTTTAATTATTTTTAAAATTAGGTTAGCTTTATTTTAATCGCACATTAAAATAAAATGATTACTATTTTCGTTTTTAATTTTGATTATTAAATTGATTATGGTATTTTAGTAATTTTTAGTGTATAAAGGTTAATTTTCAAAAAATATAGAACATGGGTTACTTTTCAAAATATATTAAGTTTTGAGAATATTTTTACAAATTTCCTTTAAAATATTTGGCCTATTATTTTAATTTCCAATATAATTTTTTAGACATAGTTTTTTTCGTAATTTCCAAATGAACCCGGAGTGATATTATTCTAAAAAAACAATGTCTTTAAAATGAATGGAAACAAATTAATAATTTAGGAAAATGTCTCTATATATTTTCATTAATTTTTAACATAAACTCATTAATACATGTTTTAAAATTTTAAACTCAACTAAATATGGGATTGATAATACAA